CTCCAACTGCTGTGAGTCTACTCAGTGAATTTTAACCTCAAATATTGCATTTTCAGTTCTATAATTATTTGTTTTGGCTTTGTATTGGGTTGCTTATTGGCTTTTGTGGTGCTATAGATTGAACTCAGGGCCTCACACTTGCTAGGCAGGTATTCTATTATTCACGCCATGCCTCTAGCTCTATTTTTGCTGTAGTCACTTTGGGGACTACATGGCTAGACCATGATTCTCTTGTTGACACTTTTCCTAGATGGCCATGAATCAGTGTACACTGCTGTCAGATGGGCTGAGGGTCTCATGGTAGTCTATGCTGTTTGTGTAGATTATCCTTGAAGCAAGGTCCTCCCAGTTTCTTGCTTTTGAGTAGTTAGGATGATAAGCAAGAGCCATCATCCCCAACTTCTTTTTTATATTCTGCATTTATCATTCCTTACTCAGTCAAAGTATATTTTCCTTATCTTCATAGAACCCAGTTATTACTACTTCAAAATCTTTGTCTAGTAATCCCTACATTTGGAGGACTGCTCAAAATTCCTCAACATTGCTCATACTTTGTTGGCTCTCCATATATCACACGATTGACATCTGTATCATGTGAATGTCATGGTGTGAAAAGTCTGAATTCATTTTCAATTCTCTGAAGACTATTGATTTATCTGTTTCAGCCAGCAATTAATTTGGTTATGTTCAAATTGAAAGCATTCTCCTGGGCAGTAGCTCAAATCTCAGATCAGTTCTTTCATTTTGAACTGTGTTAATCTGTCTCTACGCTTTACATGAATGACTCAGGCAACAGCCTAAACTGTTTATACTACAGAATTAGGAGCTTCCCTTCTCTGCCTCTCTTCTTCCAAGATTCTAAGCTCATGGTCTAGTGGTTGTCAGGGACCTGACCTTTCCACTGGGTCTTCAAAGCTAAAAGATTGACGGGTTTTGGTTTTGGTTTTGTTTTACTGAAGATTAGCTATCTCAAATGAAATAAACTCCGCCAGTCCTTATTCTAAGCGATACAAAAATAGGCAATTCACAGAGCACTGGCGCAGGCTTTCACGTTTTCTATTTTAACCCCACAATAAATCTATTCTTTTTTTCTTCTCTATTCTCTCTCCTTCTTTCTCCTCTCTCTCCTTTTTCTTCTCCCTCCCTCTCTTTTTCCTTCTCCCTCTTTGATGGTATTATTGACATCTGTGAGAATGTGGGATGTAGTGAAGCTTGCTTAGTCATAACAGAAATGAAAACAGATATGACTTAAGAAACATTCCTTCATATTCCCTAAGTCCTCATGTCATAATACTTTATCTTCATCTATTTTCTCATCCAGTGATAGTTAATTTTGCTTCTTTGTGTATTTTTTGTTGTTGTTCTTATTATTTGATTATTCTTTTATTACTAGAAATGGAACCTATGGCCTCATGATGCTAAGTAAGTGCTTTCCTGCTGAACCATATTCCAGTCCCGGTTTTAGTTTTAAGAAGAAAGAGAAGTCAGACTCAGGGATACCTTGATCATTTTACCAAGTACATGAAAATATGTGGAACAAAAACACAGTATAAAGTTAAATGATAAAGTATCAGTCAGATCTGACTCTTAGCCTGGCTGTGTTCAATTTCAAAGTCATATATTTTGTGCAGAATCTACCAAAGATTATCAAAAGATTATCTCCCAAAGACTGTCTACCAGGTATTCTGACACAATGTTTTTACCTCATGTTGGAGTCTCAGATATTTCTATATCTTATCTCACTGAAAGCAGCAATAGGTAATATTCTAACCGAAATAAAGTATTAAAACTCCTTCAATAGTACCCGAAGTTAATAAGTACACATTCCCTTTGAATAATAATCATTATTGCATCCATTTCTGCATGCAAGATACCTTTCTAAACCACTTTACATAAATCATCATTTAATCCTTCATAACCATTCTATGAGGTGGTTCCTATAATTATCATTATTCTATAAAGGAAGAGTCCAGACTTCAGAGAAATTAAGTGAACTGTCTGAGATCAAACAACAAGTAGCAGAAATCTTAGAGAAAAAGAAAACTGCAAAGAGGATATACTTGAAACCATTAGGAACATGCCCTTTATTGTAAGCAGAAAGAAATAGTCATTCTAAACACAGAGGAATAAGTGAGATTTCTAAAGCTTGAATATAGTCCAAAATCCCTCCCTCTCATAATTGCTGATAACAAAATGCTACCCTTTCAGATATATATTTTATATTGACAGCATTCATGTTAAAAAGAATCTTGCTTCAGGGTTTTTACAGGACTAAACAGAGCAACAATAACAAAAATATCAAGCCACTACATGCAAAATCTCACAGTAGGAATGCACATAATACCAGTGCTCCATTTCAAGTCATTGTATTTATTACTTTTAATCCTTTTTCCCAGGGAAAGGTTCTTGATAGGCAACTGATTCACTAGGGCTAGGCACTTAGCAAGTGAAGATGCCTGCTTTATCCCTCCAAAACCTGGGTTTAGTGAAGGATGCAGCAATGTCTCACAGATTTAAAAATCCTAGGGGCAAATCGGTCCAACTTCATAAGCTTTGCCTACATAAAATCATGGGTTTCAAATGAGAGAAAAGGAAGGCAGGGCCAAGGATAAGTAAGCAAGCAATACCAAATAGACAAAGAACACTGAGGTCTTCCTGAAAGCTAGGCAAGGAGTATAGTATTTTGGAGGTGGGGAGGACATAGACTATTCAATAGATGCAGATTTACTGTTTGGTGAGAACCTAGGATTTTCCATAAGGGGAATATATTGGCAGACAAAAGAATGATAGGAAAGGAGAGGAGAATAAGATCATGCCATCTGCAAAGTGGGAGAGTTTTGTTCATCTTTCCCTATTTAAATCCCCTTTATGTTTGTATCTTGTCTCATTGCTCTTGCCAGGTATTCTAATACTAAAGTGAAGAGAAGTGGAGAGAGTGGACATCCTTGTCTCATTCCTGAATTTAGATGAAATGGCTTTAGTTTTTCGCCATTAAGGAACATAGGTCCCATGGTTTCCCTTATCTGCAATAACTAGTATATGTCTAGGACAAGCAGAAGAAGTCAAAAGCTATGTACATATGACCATATAACCTGATGCTAAGCAAAATGAACCTCAAGATAGGGACACAAGAGATTTTATATTTCTTGTTGTTATTTTTAATGTACTTATAATGTACTATGTGGGGTTTTTTGTTTCTTTGTTTGTTCTTCCCCCATGGTACAACCCCTGTTGTCACTGTATTTGATTCTGGTGCCCTGCATGTTGTATATACATTTTTCTAATTTGGGGAGGGGAAGGCAAATAACAAAATGCTGAAATAAGGATACAGGAAGACCCATCGAAACAATGAGATGTACAATACAGTATGTTGAAAATGAACTTTACAACTTTACAGGGGAGGGAGGAGTTGGGAAGGTGGGGAGGAAAGGGATGATAGGGGAAAAATAAAGGAGGGGGTAACAATGCTCAATAGGATGTAGACTCATTACCTTGCTCATGTAACTGTAACACCTCTGTACAGTATCTTTACAATAAAAATATATTAAGAAAATAAAGGAAAGGAGTAGTTCCATGAGGGTAAAGTTAAATGAACATAACCAAATAGGCATGGTGATGCATAGCTATAATTCTAGCACTTGGAAAGCTGAGGCAAGAAATATCAATTTCCAGACTAGCCTGAGCTAGAAAAATCCTGCTTCAACAAAATTAAAAGAACAATAAATAAGCAAGCAAGCATATACATTTACCCTGTGCTGAAGAAATTACCAGATTAGTATTACAACAGGGAAAGTTATGATACCTTTCCTGACCAACTATGAATATCACAATCAATGCTCCTATACCGAAAGACAGTTAAGAGAAATTTTTAACAGATGTATCTAATTCATGTGACATAAGATACTTCAGAAATGAAACCTTACAGATTTGATCCATTTTTATGCTTTGATTTAAAAAAATAACTAGCCACATAGAAATGTAATTGGACACAGAAGTTATGAATTACAGGTAATGGACGTAGAAGAAAAAGCCAGAAACGCCTATCAGTTTATATTTTTATTGGTCTTTCTGTGTGGCCAAGATTCCTTTTTTTCCAGGTATAGCACAAAACCCTTTCTGGAATGAGGGAATGTAGGACCTACTATCAGACAAGCAAAGTAAGTAATAGAATTTTTGTGCAGTTTACCCTTACCGAAGAAATTTTCACAAGAAAGTTAGAGTAATATTTCTCGGTTTTATGGCTGGCTTTGAAGAAGGGAGATCCTAGATTCTACAGATTGTGCTGAGGAAGAATGGGGAGCAGGAAAAATCAGAATGACACTGCTTCTGAGCCCCTGCCAATGTCCTTCCATTCAGAGTACACAATATGCCAAGCTCCATTCTTTGGAGGATGCTTTTCTAAGCACTGACAGTATGCTTGTTTTCCTTTATTGCTATAATTTTGTAAAAGATACATATTTAACTTATCCATTGAAACTGTTCAAAGATGTATAAAAGGCAAGTAATCCCCAAACCATTTTAGAAGGTAAGTCTCATGGGAGAAGCCTCCTTCTGTTGCTATTTCTTTTCAATTCCACCATCATGCTCAAAGCCATGTATGGCACAACACTTGACTTTGTAACTATTTCATCTTCTTTTACACACAAAAAATATTAAATATGTGTAACTGGCTGGCTGGGGGGGGGACAATATAATGGCATGTCAATCAGGTAACAGTTAAGCTACATTTCACAAAAAAGAGAAGGTAATGCTTCTTTCAGAAAGTCAAGTCATCACTCCTTCATTTAACTGACATAATATTTATATTCCAATTTTAAGCTGGGAGCTACAAATAGAAATCGAGAGAGGGTAAATTCTCTAAGGGAATCTAGCTTTGACACATTACCATTTTAAAAGCTCTGTTTTGTATGTGAAGGGGGTGTTACTAGTGTTATAAGGATGTCTATAGAAGGTCAGTTATGTCATATGCTTAAAAAAATTAAAAGTTAAGCCAACATTACCTTTCAGACTACTGCTGTGTCTCCGTCGATTCCACAGCTCAGGCTGCACAGACTTTCTGCAAGAGGGGCAAAGCCAAGAGGTCGTCCTAGGACACCTATACCAGGAACAAAAAATCCAGATGATTATTTTAGGGGTGGGCCATACAGCTTCCAGGTACAACTTCATTAGGAACATTCACTGTGAGTACTGAGCTGGCGTCAGTTAAAGCTTGGGTGCAATTTCAGAAGGTTCATCATTACTGTGCAGAAGAGTGATGTGACTCAGGGAAACTTAAGTAAGTCATAGAGGACCACACAAAGGAAGTAGCAGGAGGACAATCTCCACTTGCAGAGATGCACAGTTTAGAAACTGAGGCGTTCATTGTGTAAACACATGATCCAGACCTGAGAGTCTGGTATAAAAGACTCCTTCCTGGCTTTGTGGTGTTCTATGTCAAATCCTCTGATGAAGCAATTGTGGGCCACTTTACTTCCTTTCCTTTGGCACCCTAGTATCCACTAAAATCTGAAGGAATATTACCAGGGAGAGAACACAGATTTTTTTTTTGGTTCAGTTGGCCTAAATTTGCATCCCAGTATTGAGCTGTTTCTGTGACCTGTACAGCTCTTCAACTCTATTGATCTTCACATCCACCTCTGTCAAATGAAGGGTACTTTTTTGTCTAAATGAGGATCAAATACCAAGCATAGTTTCTGGAACATGTTACACAAATTGAGACCACCATACTCCCATCTTATTTGCAAAGATCTCTCTAAAGCAGAGAAGTGACAAAGAAGCCAAAGAGGTCTCATTGCTCATAAATCACTCTAAGACACAGTACTAATTCCTCACCTGGTAAGCCTCTTTTTTGCTCTAATCTTTACCTCAGTATACTATTCTTGGAAATTAAAAAAATACATCAGAATCATGAACACCAATTCATTCTCTAAGATTTTGCTTAAGGGCCAATGTTTCCCTTTTTTAAAATCAAATAACTTTGGATCTTGTCATCTTATTTAGTCTGCTCAAGTCTGTAACCAGAAGCATTGCAATCATTCCTTCAACAAATATTTATGAAGATTATACTGAGATATATCAAGTCCTAGTCATTATAGTAATGAACATAATAGTCCTATATCCTTCTGTCTGGTTGCCTACATTCTAGTGAGGGAAGACAGATAAACAAAATAAATATGCAAAATACATGGTTGCTAAATAGTGTTAAGTGCTATGAAGAAACAAGTAGAAAGGGAAATCATGTTATAGGTTGAACTATGTTCCCCTTGCCTTTCAGAAAAAAAATATGCTGAATTTCTGATCACTAATAAAATTTCTGATCCTAAATAAAATCAGAACATGATTTTATTGAATATGTAAAAAGTTAAGTTGATGTCATTCTAGAATAGGATGGACCTCTAATCCAATATTTCTGGTGAACTTGTAAAAAGATGACACTTTTCCAGACACCAGTGGCTCATACCTGCAATCCTAGCTACTCAGAGGGATTATGCAAGAAAGGCATTTAAATATGAGAATATAGATGTTTCATAAATAATATGTGAATGTTAAAGCAAAAAGGAAAATTAAGAGTATATATGCATTGTAGATACACACACATATATGTCTGTTACAGTATAAACAATGGACAGGTCAAGTATATTTCAAATTTATGATAGGGAATTTTGGGGCTAAGGTTACAGGTAGGAGATAAGGAAATAAGGAAAGGACAAGTCATGTTATTTAAAAAGAGAATATAGATATCAATAATTTTTGAAAGAGAAGAACAACACTGCAAGCAAATCTGAGCCATCCAAAAGAGATCTTTATTATTGGGTAATAGAAATAAAAGCCAGGTGCTGGTGGCTCACATCTATAATCTTAGCTACTCAGGAGGTTGAGATCTGATGATCGAGGTTCAAAGCCATCCTGGGCAGGAAAATCCATGAGACTCTTATCTCCAATTAACCACCAGAAAACTGGAAGTGGAGCTTTGGCTCAAAGTGGAAAAGTATTAGCCTTGAGCAGACAAGTTCAACGACAGTACACAGGCCCTGAGTTCAAGCCCCATGACCAATAAAGATAACAAAAAAAGAAAAGACTTTAATTGTTATACTTACATTAAAAAAAATTGATGGGCTGGGAAGGTGGCTCAGTGGTAGAGCGTTTGCCTTGCATGCATTAAACCCTGGGTTCAATTCCTCAACACCACATAAGTAGAAAAAGCCACTGTGACTCAAACGGTAGAGCACTAGCCTTGAGCTGAAGAGCTGAGGGACAGAGCCCAGGCCCAGCGTTCAGGCCCCATGACTGACAGACAAAAAAAAATGAAAATTGAAAATAAAAAGGAGAAAAGGAGGGAGCAAAAGAAGGATGAAAGGAAAGGTAGAAAGGAGAGATAGAGAAGTAGGAAGGGAGGGAGACAGGAAGGGAAGAAGAGAGAGGGATGGAGGGAGGGAGCTTACCACCACTTCTGGGGTGCATTTAAGTTGCTCACAGGTGGTTGGTTTCCTGAGGATAAATTTCAAAACTATTTTTTGTATTGCTTTTTTATTTTGGTTGCTTCATCTCTGTGCTGTACTGAGATCAAACCCAGGGCCTTATGCATAGTAGATATGTGTTTTGCCACTGAGCTACACCCTCTTGTCCCATAACTATGTTTTGATAATCAGTGAGACAATGATTCCTCCTCGGCTGTCATAGCATGGAGGACTGAATTTAATTTCAGCCAGCAGAGGGAACCATCTGTCATTTGGAAGGACAAGGAGTCCTCTGCCAGGGGACACCAGAACACTACCAGCAGCCGTCACCTTCAGCATATCCCACACACCCCTGAAGCCACCAATACCACAGGAAAGAAACAATACACAGTTACAAAATGAACCCACAGACATCTTTTCAACCTTTCTAAAAAGCACACTGCAATTTTCTGGAATCCAGGGAACAATATGCTTGATTAGTTCTTCAGCAGCCTTAACAATTTTGCTTTTTCATATTTCTATCCTTGCAGCAAGTTAGCCATTAACCTCACATGTTCTAGGCATTGAGATGAGCTTTTCCTCCTACAAAATGGAACCTTTGCTTTCAAAAATGAATTTGCTTTAGGATAATTCATTTTGGCCATTACTAATCAAAGCTGTTCTCTGAGCCAAGAAGGTCATTCTTTAAAGAGGCTGGACTTGGGAAAAATGCTTCTTGTCTTTCTGGAGGCAGAATTTATGAAGAAAAAAGCTTACAGGAAAGTTCACTAATCATGAAATGAAATGCTGACCTGAACACTCCCTTTGAGACAATTATTATTTGTTTAAAAATGCCTTATTTGAAGACTTACTTGGGAGGCCCTAGATTTTTAGAAAATTGTAAGCCTAACCCTTTAAAGAAAAAAATATGGCAATCCTCCAATTATTATGTTTTTGTTACTAGAAAGCAGAAGGTACAATCAAATGCTGGATTTTCCTTAACTGCTTGCCTCCTCCCCCCCCCACCCCGCCCCGCCTCCAGCCCTAATACTTAAATATCATCAGTTTGTGTTTTGTATCCTACAGATGGGGGTTTAGATTGGTTTGAATCAAGGAAACAAACCAGGTGGAAGGGGAATTTCATGAAGAAGTTACAAATGTAAATGTGTTATTTTGTGTCTCTGAATTTGGGGGATGATAAACACGATTCCACACAGGGAAATTAGACTTTTCAGGGCTAATACTATAGGGAATCATTTAATTTGTCTGCCCAAGTAATCATCATAATATGGCTACTGTGCACTGCAGTACAGACCGAGTTTTCAATTTCAAATGAACACATGAAGTACGTAAGTCCTTATGAACTGAACTGCAGCAAAGGCTGGTACACTCAGCAAGGCTGTGCACCAAGAGAGGCTGGTTGCAGAAGACAATAAATGGGAAGAATCATATGGCCTCTGTTTTTCCATTTTCTATTTCTAGATAAAAAGACCACTGGACCCTCACAATGAACCTAAAGCTACTTTCAGTTATCACAGGGAACTTGTCCCATTATCCGGGACATTAGGACACCATCAATCATAAACCTGAAAAAGCTGCAGCAAAGCAGCACAGGAATATCCTTTTGCATTGTGGTTAAGGACATGGGTTTGAATCCTGGATTTTAACAGTTACCTGGACATGACTATCCAAATCTTAAATCTCCATGCTCACTTTCCTCATTGAGAAATGGAGCTAATCATTCTGACTACTTAATAAAGTTATGAGGAGATTCACTGAGATAATTTACATGTTAGAATTTAACACAGCGGTTACCACTACCTCTTATCATCACAGCTATCATCGTTATTTCCCTTCAAAGTTCATTTAAACAGGACTCAACTCATTGTTTAGTAATTATTTTCATTCATTTAATGAAGTATATATTTTATATACATTTAAGAAATGTCAGCACTATGGTAGGAGCTAGGTACGAAGCTGATCAAAACCTGAAAGCAATTCAAGGAGACAGACATGAATGGAAGATATCCACAGGGAGTGAACTCTTTCTAGTTGTACACAGAGCTTAGAAGGAGCAGATCAGCCTAAGACAGACTAAAACAAATGAGGTAAGTTAAACTTGCGGCCTAGAACAAGAGAATGAGACAACCAAGGCATCAAAGGAAGGCTTTTTAGGGGAAGAGAATAAACTTTCAAAGACATGACTGTTACTGAAATCTGGTACAAAGCTATACAGTGAATGCTTGCATCATTGCTGGAATATATGTCAAGTATGAAAAATATGCCAGGCACTGTGCATGAACTATGACCTCATTCTTACCTCCTAATACCTAATACTTTGTTTATACCCCACAAGCGAGGTGCAATGGCTCACTCAACAGGCTGAGATCTGAGGATCGTGGTTCAAAGCTAGCCTGGGCAGGAAAGCCCATGAGACTCTTACGTCCAATTAACCTCCAGAAAATCAGAAGTGGTGCTGGCTCAAGTAGTAGCACACTGGCCTTGAGCTGAAGCTGAAGAGCTCAGGGCCAGTTCCCAGGCCCAGAGTTCAAGCCCCACAACCAACAAAAAAGGAAGAAGGAAAGAAGGAAGGAAGGAAGGAAAGAAAAATGTCTTACAAAGCTGGGCACCCATGGCTCATGACTATCATCCTTGCTAC